TCAGCAGGAGGACTTCAGGATACTGCTGGCAATTCTCCATTTTCATCTGGATCCAGCATAACATCACCCTCTGGAACTAGATTTAACTTCTCGCAGCTTGGTGAATAATTATCTGTTTGGATAATCATAGCAATACATTGTGTGTCTTGAAAATAGCATATTACGCAATATAATTTTCTTTCTGCAGCTCCGAGTCCCACATTCAACCTCAGGAAGCACTCTCATTGAAATGAGTGTGACTAATTAGCATTATTATCTCGTATGCCCAAAGGTGGCATACTTGCAGTAATTCTTTGAAAATACTTCTTTGTTGCCTACTTGTTTGGTAATACTGCTTTAAAATCCAAGCATCTTACTATATGTGCCACTCTCATCAGTTTAAGATATTTTATCTTTATATGTATTTTTCAGGTGGCTTGTTGGAAAATTGTGTAAAGCTCAGTCTGAAATAATATATAAAAGTCAGAAGAACTCTTAAGTCAGAAGAAATGCCTTTTTTTTTGGTAGTTGCACAAAAATTAGGTATGAAAATTTGTGGTCGTGCAAATATAAATCGGTGTTTATTCTTCACTTTATAGCAAGCCCAACCACTGCAGCCCAGATGAGCCTGTCAAATCCAACCATGCTACGGACCCACAGCCTTTCCAATGCAGATGGTCCTTATGACCCCTATAGTGATACGCGCTTCAGGAACAGCTCGATGTCCCTGGACGAGAAAAGCAGAACAATGAGTCGGTCTGGTTCTTTCCGTGATGGTTTTGAAGAAGGTCAGTAAAGTATGTGATGGTGCTGGAAATGAACAGAAGATGACATTCTCACTTGAACCAAGTATAAATTTGCTGCTTTTCAGTTCAGCATAGGGGTCATTTCAGAGCACAGTTCTCTCTGTGTGGAGCTCTCAGTGTTAGACAAAACTTTAGTCCTAGTCATCGTTCTGATGATATTCACTCAGTGATCCTTCTGGCCAGACATAGGAAAGCATGTAAGTGGTGTAGCTAGACCATCACTGTTCAAGAAATGATTTAAACACATCCTGTGCTTCATTTTTAGTTATCTCAAAATTACTCTAGTTCATGCTTAGAGTTAGCATATTAAAGTGTTTCCTTGAATAGGACTGTTCTCTTGAACCTGGGCCTCCACACTTCTGTTTGTAGTACAAATAATTGATATCAGCCAGGCTGTTGTTTTTATCCCAGTTAATTTTTCCAGTATTTAATCTGTATTCAAATTGTCTTTACTTTTTATATCTGCTCAATGTCCGGCTTGCTATCACACAGCTTCCACAGAAGGGACCTGAGCAGTTCTTCAGAACGCCTAGGCTCTTCTTTTCAGTTCCTCATCGTCTTTTCAAATATGTGATCATACCTGATAAAAGAAGACCATATAAATATAAGAAGAAAAAGTCATTTGCCTATAAATAAATGTTTAGTTTGATTGCTACTGATCGAGAAACCTTATGGCTGTAGCAGGAGTAACTATGAGCACACAATGAAACCTTCAAGTGTTGCATTCGTAGAAGTCAAGCATGGGGTGAGCTCTGGGAGTGGTTCATAGGAAGGTCATAGGAAGCTCTTCCAGCAGTAGCTCTTTGAGTCTTAAATCACCTTTCTGGCAAGGATTGGGAGCTTGGCTGGCTATGAAGTACTTTATCACTACAGGTCACACAAGCCTTCACTGACTTACTTCCTCCGCTGCTGAAGACCTGTGCTTACTCGGCACTGTTAATACCAGTGCCCCGTTGTTGCTGCTCCCCTAGAGCCAGGCATGGGAGCCACACTTAGGTGCTCGTAGCAGCCTTTAGGAGCCACAGGGTGCCTTCCTGGAGATACTGGTTATCCCATCTGTTTTCCACCGTTGGAAGCGGTGGAAAATGCGCATTGGATATGGCTCCAGAAAGATTCAGGGCTAATTCATTATTGAATTTAGCCAATCTAACTCCATTACATTTAATTGTATTTTAGAGGCCCACGGCTGAGGATCTTCATTATGGGTTGAAAATTGCTAGAATAATGCTGTAGGGCTGAAAACTGTGTCGTTGCAGGAATTAAACTTTGTTTGTGCCGTGCTCTCAGAAAGCTAGATGATCATGAACAGTCAAAGGCTGCCTGATACTTAGTCAGTTGAATTTCATTCTGAGATGAACAGTCCTGCTCTTACTAAAGAGTTCCTTAATATAATCTGTGGAGGAATTTAAATCACTGCATCTGTGTTATACTTAGATTTACTGAAGGAGCTACTACAGCAAAACTTATTCAGGTTTTATTGAAGACATCCTCAGAAAAATTGTAACCTTAGTCTTTTAAGTGTGCTTAAGATCACAGCAAATCCATTTTGGCACATTTGAGGTTAAACTGGCTCTTGTAATTCAGAAATTCTTGTCCAGGCGAGAGGCTAGTTTGGCAGAATATTTAATAAGTATTACATGTTTGAGGGTGAACCATTTTAAAAAAAAAAAAAAAGAAAAGGAAAAGGGAAGAGTTAGGTGAAATGTTCTACAAAGTGCTTTTCATTCATTTAAAAAAATAATAAAAATGATGTCCAAGAAAACTCTACCTATGGACTTGAAAGCAGTGGAAAAAGATCACTTCTGTATACGAGGAGGGAATTTGACCCTACAGTGGACATGCTGAAGAAGTCCCTTTCAGATTTTCCTAAATTTTTTTGGCGCCTAAAAGGATAATAATATTTTATCAGATGCGATGAATGTTTAGGTGCAGTCTCTATATTTTTGTCTTCAGGTTAAAGGTCTTCTGCCACTTCTCTGGCCATACAGAAAGCAGGGATAGCCTGCTTATTAGCTCCTGCTTATTTCTCAGGGAACCACAAGTTATGAGTAGGCAAGCGGTTCTGAATATGGCATATATGTTGTCCTGTGCTTTCAAACCTGTGGGTCTAATTCACCTTCACAGAATAAGAGAATAAATCAAAAAGTATGCATGCATCATTCACCTTCACCTTGAGAGAATAGACCAAAAAGTGTTACAGAAATTAAATTTGTGGTTGATGAACAAATTGATTTCATACAATCAGCCAGTGTCAATGAAGCATAAATCCAGGTCTTAAGTAAAGGTTACCAATCTACTTCTTTATTAGCACATAAGATCACAGGACACTTTATTCTTACTAACTTCAGCAGGGCCAGGATTTATTCTTAAAAGCCTTTTTTCTTTTGTCTCCATAGTGTGAGGTACAGTCATGTTCTCTCACAGCACAGCATGCAGGTTGAAATGTTAGTCAGCCTTGCAGTACAGAACTCTCTTGATAGGAAGGGTTTCAGGAGTGGAGAGAAGCCAGCAGGAACAGCCTCCAAACTCACCAGAACTTCAGGGGTAAAAACACAGCCTAAAACTGAAGTGGTCTCTTGGCTCTCCAGTTTCCCCACTTCCCTGGCCATCAGTCTTCCCCAGGACCTGTGCTGCCTAGAGAGAGAGGAATTAAATTCATTGTCATTGGGATATAAATTTTTATTCCTTTTTGTGCTACTGACTGCAATACCTGTTGTTCTTTCTGGTCTTTGGACAGTTGATCCCGGCTAGACCGTTTCTTTTCTAACATTAAAAATGATACATGCTTGCATATGCATTTATAGTGCTGTAAAATAATCACTCCAAAACAATTTGGGTTTGTAGCCTGCGTGCAGATGCACGTTAACTGCAAAAAACAGGAATCACATGAAGAGCGTAACTGCCTTCAGGCTTCTAATTAAATAGCCTTAAAGTAGCCATCTGCAGATACTTTAAAAAGAAATTGCGCAAAAACATTAACTCCTTAGTTGTCCTTGAAACTAGAAATCCCAAATTATACACACATTTGAATGATGCAATGGTGATGTTTTACAGGGCAGGAGTATGATTCCCAGAGTTATATGTTTTTTCCCTTTTTTCATTTTGAGTCTTCTTGCCTCCTTTAAAGTCCCAAAGTGATCTTAAAAATTCCAGTTGATGCTAACTCAAAAATCCTGGGTCCCAGTCCCTTGTAAGGAGATCTGTTTCTTCTCTGGCCAGTTGGTATGGTTGCTTTCTTGAATACATCTCTATTAGTAAAAAAAGCACAAAGAAAGAGTATAGAGAGGCAAACTAGAAAATAATATTATATTCTCTGTATGAGCTCATTGGTGGCCTTGTGAATATTGCCTGCGCTTTGGGCTTTCCATCTTAAAAAAGGTGATCCTAAGGGTAAAATGCAGGCAAAAAGTGACAAGAAGATCTGAAGTGCATAACATCTATGGTATGAAGAGAGTGAGATAGATGAGGAATCTTTAGCTTGGACAAATGATGTCTGAAGGGAGGTGATAATATATAACTTAGTGCGTTATAAAGAGGATGGTTATCCATTACTTCTCGTACCACAGGGGTGTGGAGACACTGAAGGAACTTATTGACTGACTCAGCAGCAGGTCTAAAACAACTGCAAAGAATTATATTCTAAACACAACAAGAGTTTTTTGTTACAGATAAAATGTGTCCGTGGATTCAGAAGTAGTTAAGCAAGTTAATGGTAGATAGGTCACAGCGACTATGAAAAACAATGATCTGACTGCAGTTTCCACCTCAGGAATTTCCATCTCTGCTGATTCCCAGAAGACGCAAAGGTGTACCTGGGGAAAAATCACCGGGTATCTGCCTCCTTCTTGCATGCCTTTCCCTAAACATGCGCTGCGGTTGCAGCCAGAGATGGAGCAAGCGATTAGGCAAACCCTGGGTCTGACTCACGCTGGTTATTTTTATGTTCTTAATGCAGTACAGTCCTTAACATCTGACTATAAAGATCATTTTAATTGAAAATATGATTAACCAGAAAAAGCAAATGGGTGTGAGGTTTTTTTTTTTTACTTTCTTGTGGGTTTTTAAAATTGTCTTAAATTCCTCCAGAAGCCAACTTAGACTTTGTTTACTTCTTTTTCCAGCCTTGCCTTAGGATATAATGTCAATGGGAAAGCAGAGCCCATTTATTATGAATGTAGAATTGCAGTAGGTAATTAGAGCAAAATGGCAGCTTTTCTAACCTTTTTTTTCTGGCTGGAGGATTTAGATGAAAGAAAAAGCAATTTAACACAATTTCATATGATTTGTATGAAGTTACCTGAAGTTTGAATAAAAGTTTCAGTTAAATATATTTTGTTTCTAAAAATAAAAATAAAGGAGAGGTAATTTTGCATGTTTCGGTAACAGAAAGAATAGCTTCAGGTAGGGTTTTTTAACAGCATAATCAAAAATAAAATTATGTTATATATAAATCCTAACGTCAGGGTGATGGTAACAATCTTGAGAATCAATGTATATGTCTCTTTTGCCGAATATATATTCAAGTACAAAAACTGCTTGAAATGGATTCTTTTCCAGAACAGGTTTTGTTACCATGTTTTCCTCTGGTAGTTTTTCTATGAGAGAACAAACTGTGCCTTGTTAAAGAAATGTCATTGCTCTAAAGAAAGACCAAAAACCCCTACAGGGATAGGCAATGTTCAGCTCAGCGGTGCCCATGATCCAGCTCCCTTGTAGTCAGCAGAAGGAAGATCCAGCTGCATTCAGAGGACAACTGGGAGCCCCAAAATTAGGCAGTGGTTTCTGCCCTGGGTGCTCCACATCTTCTCCTGGAGCATCTGGTTACATGCCAGAGATGGGTATCGTGGTCTTCTCGGGACATCTTCATCTTGGTCTGCTGCTTAAAGAAAACAACCTGCCCCCTCAATCTCATCTAAAACTGAAGATGAAGTACTCAGATTTACTTTTGTAATCTCTTCTGCATTTCAGTTAATTTGTTGGTTTTTAAACTTGAGTAAGTCCTTTTCCAAGAGTCTTAAGATAACCTGTCCAGAGAAATATATATTTCTGAACAAATCTGCATCGAAACTTTTCTTTTTAATCTTCTTGACCACACCTCATTTTCCCAAAAAACAAGTATTATTAAATTGTTAAAACAGCTTTACCAAATCGAAGTTTATGGATTGTGTTACTTGGCCATGCATTCTTCAAACTGTACATTATTGGTGCAATAATATAATTAAGTTTATGATGGATGATGAAATTAGTGAAAGTATTTCTTCAGTCGACTGGTAGTTGGCAGTCGATGATCTATGATGATTCCACTCTGTGGTTACTGTATTTATAGTCATTGTGTTTATTTTCTTTCCTTTAGTGCATGGTTCTTCTCTCTCTTTGGTATCCAGTACGTCATCTATTTATTCGACGGTGAGTATAATGAAATGAACAATTTGGGTTTACTAATAAAAATCATTGAATTTACTGGTCTTATTGTGCTAATTATTTTTGCCATTCAAGGAGGAGGGAAAAAAGCGCTTTTCATTTGATTGTGTTCTGAATGCTAGCTACAAAAGAAATGTTTATGTTCATAAAGATGTCTGTGGATATTTAGCAGTATCCTCATTAAACACAGACTTTAATGGCCTAAAAGCAGCAATTTATTTTTTGAGTCACTATTTTACAACTACACTAAATAAGTTTCGCTACAAAGGACCTCAGTAGATCTGAGGAGATTTGGACTTCATTACCTAAAGCACCACAGAGTTTGCTGAATAAAGTCATTCCAGCCTTGTATTAAGGATTTGCTACTAAAGAAGTTTGAGTAAGCCTTTCAATGCACAGATTTTAATAATCCTAAAGAAGCCATTTGTTCACTATGCCAGTAATATTTTCTCCAGAAGTATGTATTCATTTAGGTTACCTGATCCTAAAATACGGCTTACTGGAGTTTGAAAATACAGGGGTTTTTTAAATGCGTGTTGCATTTGCTTATTTTCTTCTAATAGTGTCATGAAGGTTTTTCCATTTTAAACATATACTGTGGAAGACCTCGTAAGTTAAGACTATACCTGTGCTGTAGTGGGGAGGTGAGGCTGCAACATGCAGACCCTGTCTTGCCTGGCTTTTCTTTAGCTAGCTGGGGTGTTAACTGCAGCGACCCAGGGACACAGCAGCCTCCAGCCCACACAAGACTGTACAGAAGTATTTGGCACTGATGGTTAATTCCCAGTGGCTTCATTGCTGTTAATATCCAAGCTAGCCAGATTAAAGGTGGATCATGTATTCCTGGCATGCAGTGATCACGGTTTTGGGGGTTTCTTAAAGCACAACCATTTTAAAAAACAATGGATAATTACTTCTGAAATACATGCTAATCGAACAGGATCTTCAAATTCAAATTCTTATGCAAGTACGATGCACCTTCACGCTTACCAGAAATCCACAGCTGAAGCGAGCATATGTGATACAAGAGTACGTGGAAGAACTTGCTCTTCGAAGATCATGTATAACTGTCTATGAAGTCTGTCAAGCCAACATAGTGTTGTTTAGCGTTATTTCACATACGTGTGTCACTGTTAGGAAACTACATGCATAACATGGCCTTAAGACCTTGACAATAAATTGAAAAGACTGCCTTTCATTATTGACCTTGCCTCAAGCAAGGTCCATATGAAGCCAAAACAGATAATGTATTGGAAGGATGGAAAACAGACTTTTTCCTCTGGGCTGTTGTTGATAACCCTGAGAGCCACAAGGAGAGTACTCAGCGGCTGCTGGCTAAGCGTCTGGTTTATGTGCTTGCTGCCCAAGCACCAGTGGCTCTTAATACTGTGGTTTGATGGGTATAATTTTCATGGTGGCTGGTAGTGGGCATATTTACATAAGGGCAGCGGAGTGTGTAACTTCCTACCATATACTTCTCTTTAGCTGATAACTTTGGTTAGAAACAAGCCATAGTAGCCACAATTTTATCATGCAGACCGCGATGGATGGTCAGTGCATCCACTTTGCATCCTCAGATAACTAGTTGTGTGTCCTCAGTTCTTGATCACCACAGTGCCTAGGCAGAACCCAAGTGGGAGTAATTTTTATTTTTTTTTTTCACATCACTTTGGAATGCAAAACCATGATCTCCGTCCCATGGAGAGCTGAGCATGGGAGGAAGGGAATTGCCTAGGATCAGCCATGTTCTGTGACAGTCCTGGCTCTTCAGAGCCTCATGCAGTCCCTTATGCATCGAGCCAGGACTTCACCCTTCCACGGTTCGGACTCAGAGGTGCACTGGTCGGCAGGCTGGCAAGTGGAGCCCAAATTCCTTCCTGCAGGAAGAAGTACTGTACAAGCAGCCTGGTTTCTTTTTCCTGAAGAGTAAATAGATTAGGAGATTACCTTAGATTGACTATGGATGTGGGAATCAAAATAAGGAATTCACATTAGAGTTTTTGAAACGCCAAAAAAACCCTGAAAATTTTGATAAATTTGTTAGGCTGGTTATGTTGCAATATCCTCACATATTTTCCTCCGTTTTTATTTTATAGCCTGAAGAGAAGTGCCAGTCAGAGGTAAGAGCGTGTAGTGTTTGACAGGAATAAATGTTCTGTCAAGACACTCTGCATTTCGTGTCTTGCTATTTTCGCTCCGTATTATGGTGCAGTAAAGTGCTCTCTTAAAATATATAGATTCGCAAGCTACGAAGAGAGTTGGATGCATCCCAAGAAAAAGTGTCAGCTCTGACAACTCAGTTGACTGCCAATGTGAGTACAACCTGGAGAACAAACACTAACAGGGAATGCATTTAATGCACCAACTACCACCCCAGTTTTTCTAAGTGACCAAAAGATTTCATGTGTCTAACATTCGGTTCACATTACCTATGTGTTTAAAAAAATAATTACATGCATGTGGGACTTTTCCAAAAATAACATCCTCTGTCCTACTGAATTGTCGTATGCCTTTCTTGAAATACTGAATTATAATATTCATTTGGCTTTACGTATATGTAAACCATCTTCAGATTTTGAGAAAATCATTGAAGACGGTGTCTTTTTTTAGAAATAGTGTCTTGTTTTTTCATTTAGGTGGGATGAGGTACGGATGAAGGTTATAATCAGTAGGAATAAAAATTGGTGGAAATGTGGATTGAAATGCTTTATACTTTGCTATTGCATAAAGATGTGGGGTAATGGTGTGACAGGTAACAGTAGCATAAGGGGCTCTGAGAGCTAATTTACGGTTACAGAGTGGACATACCTGATTTTTACCATTGTGGGCAATACTTCTGCTTGTTTTCTCTGAGGAATTTGATGAGTAAGTGATGTAAAACACTTGGAAAAAAAAGATTTGGAAGCCAGGAGGTGCTGAGGCAACACTATGTATGACCCTGAGCAAGTTTATTTATATGTTCTGTGCTGTAGTCACAGATAGCAGAAATCTGCAAAACAGAAGCTTGCTAGAAAAATAAGCAATTCCAGAGTATATAAGCTACAGATGAATACTCATCAGATTGGGTCATACTGACATCCTAGTTTGTGGGAATAAATAAACATCAGAACATATGCTACTGAAGAGGACGTTCCTGTCCATCAGCTCTCTGAATAGGTGGAATACGAAACTTGGCACAGTAAAGGACAGCTTTCATCAGAGCAGTGACACCTAGCACAAGAAGGATTCAAGGGGAAGTCTGTTGTGTTCGCTGCAGGCATTGCAGTGCTTCATCCAGCTTGCAAAATGGGAAAGGAAAACCAAGAACACAGTTAACAGAGAAGTCAGGGGCTTTGACTCCATGTAACCACTCAGTCACTTTCCCAAGAGGAAGAGAAAAAATTTTAAAAATCTTCCAAAAATTTAATGTTATATTTGCCTTCCAAATACAAAGAGGACTGGATACATGAGTAGGTTTTCATCCAGAAGCTTCTTTTACATGTGAGAAAGTAAGAACCAGATTCTTTTGCATACGTTTTTTTATCATGTTGTTAAATAACCCAGCTTGTGTCCTTCAAGGAAAGAACTTGTCAGCTATGCAACTCATCTAGCTCTGCCTTAGTTTTGTTGCATTCTTCTTCATATGGTGTTGGGATTCAGTAGGCTGTTACTCAATGCGAGACTTAGTAGCCTGTCTCCAAGAGTAGCAGCACAGGCTACTGTGTGCCTGCCCCCCCTGCCATTAATTTGCCCAAGAATTTGTGTGTGGTTACTACAACTATCTTTGCGGAGAATAGTTTTTAACGTATGCTGCTGCTGTACGTTTTTGTTTGGTTTGGGGTCATTTGGTTTTTTGTTGTTGTTGTTTTGGGGTTCCACCCCCCACCCCCCCAAAAAAAAAGTTAGCATCATTTATTTTGATAATATTCCTTTTTTTCTTCATTCACTGTGCTAAAATTTTGGGGGGTTTTATTCATGCTATTTAAACTTCTTAGACTTTGACCTGCCCCTTATTTGTTCATAGATCAGCTATGGTCTGCTGCAGAAATGTTGCCCTAACTGGCTTCTCTTTCACTCTCTAGCTGCCTCTTTCCAGAGGACATACTCTTTTTGCATGTAAAAGGCCAGGTCTGTTGCCAGAAAAGTTAAGACTAATAAATGCTGTTTGTTAGGACACTGCTTTATGGACATTTCCTTTACACAAGATTTTTTTTAAAAAATGCTTTTAACTTAGGCAATTTGAATTCAGCTGTTTATTTAATTTATTAATTTTTTGCTGAATTTTCCTGTATACACACTGCAGCTTTTGATGCTTCCCAGGCCGTCAGGGGCAAGAATTTTGAAAAGGTTTTGCTCCAGCTCGGAAGTGAAGATAACTATTTTCCATAGCCCACTGAACAGGTTCCAGATGGGAATAATTTAAAGGTGCCTGATCTGGTTTTGAAAGAGCAACTTTTTCTTAAGGTTCAGGTCAAAAAATAAAGGGTTTTTATTTTTTGCTTTTGCAAAGTATTGCTTAGGATTCCTGAATATCAGTTTTGTTATTCCCTGTTCATCCTCCCCAACAGAAACTTTGCAGTCTTGTGTTTTTAAAATAAATACTTAGATTTTCAAACATGTGTAGTGTGAGGGTTTAAATTACTTTTTGCTATTTTCTCACAGTCTCAGCTCTGCTTATTTTCATAGGGGCTGATGGGAATGAGAGATGCACGTCCCCCTGTTATTGTACTGCTCATGTTTGTTTTCTTTGCGAATGTGAGAACAGTTATTTAGGATAAGTCAGCTGTGTGCTGCTGATGAATAGGTCTGGAATAGCTCAGTGAAAGGTTTTGCTATTCTGTATATATTTAGGTGAGAGAATGCCCTTTTCCGCTTGGAAAGATTTTGCACAATTTTACTTGTCATTGTGTGTATAGAATTATTTTTAATAGAGAAATAAATTATTATTTGCTATGGTTAGTGTAGATGATTATGGCTAATGAGACAAAAATATATTGAACTATGCCTGTGTTCCACTGCATATGCAACTGCATATAGATGTACATATAGATACACATGTATATCTATAAATAGATATTTAGATATCTAGATATAGATATTTATCTATAAATAGATCAATAGATATACACGTATATCTAAAAAACAATGCCATATCATGGCACTGGAAACATAGTACCCTTTCATCAAGTTTCTTTCTGTCTTCTCAAGCTACTTTCCTTCCTTTTACTTCTCAGTCATTTTCAAATCTTAGCTGATGTCCTTAATATAGTCGACATTGGGTTCTCAGTGCTTCATTGGAAATGAAAAAAGGGTAATTGGCCCAGCACCAGGAAGTTTTGGATGATATTTAGCACGTGGACCTTGGTTGCAAGCAAGGTGCACTCCGATATTAGGGAAGCCTTTGACTTCAATGCAGGTATATCGGCTGATAAAGCACCTGGCAGACTGGCCGCAATGCTGCCGTAGTCCTGTCTCCATCCTTATCCCTCTCTGCAGGGAGAGCATCTCTGGACTGAACTGACTGACTTGGCTTTCGGACTTCTCCCGTTGGGGAGCACAGTGCGAACGTCCACCTCTGTGACTTCAGTGTCTTTTCGCCTTAAATATCCACAAAGAAAATAGTGATCTAGTTGGAGGGAAGTTTCTGCCTGACCTTCCTCTATCTAAAAACTTGCTTTATATTTTAGTTCCTGTTTTCTATTTTATTTTACATTTTAAGGTATCCTTCTGAAACTTAGGAGTGATGTTTGGGGTTTTTTAGTACTGTCTGGAAAAAGATTTAAACTTTTTGTGAAAAGCTCTGTGGCAAGAGCGAACTACTTAACTACTTGAGGGTACCTGAAAACTATGACTAAGTAACCTTTTACACGTTAATAATGGCCCACATAAAAAGTCAAAGATTAAGTGTGATTTCAAAAATGAACAGCAGGAGATGTTTCGAATCTCTCTACATTTTGCGACAGGAGGTCTTTACACGTCATTGCTTGCAATAGCCTGGGGACGTGGCTAGATAACCAGGGACACCCCTCCACACCTTTTTGGTATCAGGAATGCTTTCAGGTGACAAGGTGTATGCCCTAAAGCATCCCTTAAAAGCCTCAGTTATGTAATCTATGAGACATTTAAAAAAAAAAAAAAAAAAAGAATCTAACATGTCTTTCTGTTTCAGCAAAGTGGCAAAATGTGTTTTCTGTTTATCACAAAATCGAAGCAGCTTAAAAGTACATGAACAGGATTAGTCTGAGATGTGGCTCTTCAAAGGACCTTAACTCCTCGGGACCCAGAAGGTGGTTTTGTTCCCAGATGTATGCTGGATGTAGGACTGCACATTTTACAGAATAAATGAGAATTCCAAACCGGAAAAAAAATTCTGCTTTGCTGTTCTGTTAGAGTCTGTCTGAGGTAACTGTCGTGGCTATTGAAATCACGGTATCAGAGAAGTGGACGTAGCAGCTGGCTGAGGAGCCACCATCAGGAAATATCCTACTGATGTGCCAGGTCACAGCGTTACTCCTACGTCTGTGTTTTCTAAAGTGTTTGGTAGCAGCGGCTGCCAAGCAGGGCATGGTTTATAGCCGAAAACTGCATCGTTTCATAGTGCGCTGCTAGTAGTAGTTGTGTACGAAAGGGCTGTCGTTTTCTAAAATTCTGAAATTGGTGTGTTACCTTCGGCATCTCTAATTTTCCACAATTAAATTGTTCCTGATAATTTGCAAACGTTTTCACAACGTATGTTCTACTCACGTGACCTTTTCTAATCAGTGTTGTTTTTTTCTTACCATTTACCCAACAAACAATGCAATGCAGGAGGTGGTCCATTTAAATACCTGCAGAAATAGTCTTGTTTTGGGGGGAGAGAACAAACTACTTCTGTATGGTTTAACTTTCAGGCTCACCTGGTGGCAGCATTTGAGCAGAGCCTGGGGAACATGACGATCAGACTGCAGAGCCTGACAATGACAGCAGAACAAAAGGCAAGCTTGAGAAGTGTTTGGGGAAGTCTTAATTTCTGTTTCCAGCATTGTTGCTCGTGCTTCTTTTGTAGTTGGGGCGGGGGGGAAATCACATACGCCGTTTGCCTTAGTTTCCTCAATTGTGGTGATGAAGTAAAGTGTAATAAAAATTTTGTATAAAATACTCATCTTCCTTACTGGAATGTTGTGACAACTGATCGGGTTATTCCTATAGATTGTTGCTTTCGACACAAGTCTTCAGTATTGCATATTTTTGTAATAAAATTCTTCCCAATGCATCCACATGTGCACGTTCAAGCGAATCACCAAGAAAAATCCTTGCAAGACAGGCAACGCAGGGTTTTTGGACAGTATGCTTGAATATACATTATTTCTGTATTACAGAGCATGTACATTTTTTTTTTGTATCGTAATAACCAAGCTATTTTACAGCCTATTGAGGGTGTGCTTCCCCAGGTAAACCAAACCTCATTTTCATCTCCTTGTAGGTATATATTCCATAAATTCTCTATTAACTACCAATACTCGCATTGAAATGTGGCTTCTTTTGGAGCAGTTAGATGCCATCTGCATTTTCCAGTGTATCACCATTTTTTTTTCTTATTCAAGGACTCAGAACTGAACGAATTAAGGAAGACTATTGAACTACTGAAGAAGCAAAACGCTGCTGCCCAGGCTGCCATCAATGGAGTCATCAACACACCTGAGCTCAACTGCAAAGGTGAGAAGCAAGTGCTACGTTTAGCGACTGTGTGGTGCTCATGAGACTTTAGAACTCTTGGTAATATCTGATGTAACCATCAGAGATCAGCTTTGTCTCATGACCGTGCTCTAGTTCCTTGTTTTGGTATCATGTGGGAACTTCAAATGGGTATCTGTGTAAATAGTGCGGTCAATTCTATAGAAGTAAATGGATGTGTCAGGCACATAAGAGGGCATTTTAACAAAGCTTTTCCACCTTCAGTGTGAGCTCACTGAATTTACTGTAAACATTTAGTAATTCACCCATCTAGACACTGATGTGAAGCAGCAGAGATCCCCATTTCAGAGCTGTCAGGCACTTGGCTTTTTCTTTGGTGTTTTCAGTAATTTCCAGTATGAAGTCTGAATACACTCCTGTCTTATCTCACTTCTCTTATTTATGCCAGTAATTTACACTTATATCAAATTTCTTAAATAATTTTGACACCGCCTCCATTTGTATTCAGGACCTGGAGCTGCTCAACCCGCAGACCTGCGGATCCGAAGGCAGCACTCTTCAGATAGCGTCTCCAGTATTAACAGTGCTACCAGTCACTCCAGCGTGGGAAGCAACATAGAGAGTGATTCAAAGAAAAAGAAGAGGAAGAACTGGGTGAGTGTATTTTAACAGATTGTGTGAGGTTTATATAAAATTGTCAGAACATGCACGGTGAAATCTAGCCGCTCAGCTCCTCCTTCCTCCCCTCATGCAACAGGTCAGCACAAGGACTGTGCACTGTCTAAATCCTGTGTAAACTCTCTTTTGAAGGCTTAATTGAGTCATAGGTGATGTATATGCGTGTGTTGACTCTGCCTAGGATTGAATTTTAGCTTGACAGCCAAAAGGCCAGTCTTAAATTAGAAATAGCTGTCAAAGATCAGTTCTGGCTAAAAGTAATAAGATGTCCAGCCCCTTAGGGAAAACTCGATGTCTGTCATTAAAGTAAAGCAAATCCACAATGAGAGATCATTCTTACTTTTTTTTTTTTCCTTTTTGGCTCGTAGGGCTTTCTTTTAAGCGAACATGTTAAGCACTTTAAGAACTCTGTTTTGAACATTACCGTGGAGTTCTACAACAAAAAAAAAATACCAATTTTTTAAAGTTTACTGGAATGGACATTTATTTTGCAAGATTTTGCAATACTTACCTGTCATTTCCCATTTTTCCTTCCTTGCTCATCATGTACTCTGTACAAGGTACCCTGTACTGGAGGAAAGGTACATTCTATTAAACTCCATTTTCAATTAGACCATAACTGCCTTAGTGACCTAGTCTGATTGTAGTTTGGACTAAAGTCCCTAGATCCTTTATTGTAGCCAGTAAAGCAATCCACCCCTTCCTTCCCACTGAATTTAAATCTCCCTGGATCTTTTGAGTGTACAGATACAAAATGTGGTTTGAGCTGGTTACAGCTTGATTTGTATTTGCACAATATCCTCTCAGAAATGTGTATGAAACTCCTGACCTGTAAGAAACAGCTTCCTGAGCAGGTTCGTGGGTTTTATTTCGCTCTTATCCCAGTGGTTTCATTTTGATATCTTGTGAGCTCCTTCATAAGAGCAGTATTTTCACTCTGCCCCTTAAATAATTGGTTGAATGGAAACAATTGTGACACAAACCTGTTGTAGTCGTTAAGCCTTAGTTAAGATAAACATTTTTAAAATTTTTCCTTTAGCTTCTACTCTTTGTTATTGTAACCTAGTAGATATTATCCTACATCAGCCTACACTTCTCATTCATGGGATGACTATTTTTAAAGAAGGTTAAGGAAACATCTCCTTATTATAAAGAGAAATAAATAAAGTTTTCATGAAGTAAAAGAAACAGGACAGTATTTTTATGTTGTTATTAAAATTGAGTACATCATTGCTGTAAAATGAAGATTGGAAATTAAAGCAGTAATTTACTGAGAAAAATATATAAGTCGAGTCTGATTCACACATTGTTTATTCTACAAAGACTGCGGAAGTTCTCAGCCAAGATCTTTTTGTTATATATAGAAACAACACAGCTGTCCATTCAGAGCTGAAACACCAGATTTTCAACATTTCTCACTGTAGGAGTCTTTTGTCTAGTTTTAAAATAACTTGCAGCTCACATTAAGCCGGCCTTTTTACAACATGTAATTTGCGATAGCGTTAAATGGTGTTCATAGAGTGTCCCGAGTTGGAAGCGACCCATGAGGATCATCAAGTGCAAACCCTGACTCTACACAGGGCATCCTAAAAGTTACACCATATATCTAAGAGCGTTGTCCAAACGCTTCTTGAACACTAACAGTTGAACTGTAACTTTGGGATAACATCAGTTTAATCACATGAATATTCATTCTTTTTGTTGTTTGGAAAATGGCAGTCACATTAAAAAAGGTTATTTTAGTGGCAGGTAGGTAGAGAAGGTTCAGTCTTTTCATCTGGTGGAATACCCATTCCTGCAAGGAAAAACACAATATTAACTTGGCTGTTAGCCAAAACATTCTGTCGCTAAGGTGAAAATATGATTTAAATAGTTAAGAGATTTGCATCTGGTGTCTCCCTCAAGTAATGCAAAAAAATGACTGTATGTTGTTTGAAACACCTGGTTTTGGAAAACACAGGGTTCCAGTTTTAAAGTAACTGTTGGTCTTTGTTGATTATTGGTCATGTTTGTCTTAGAAATCCAAAGCTTTCCTTATCACTGGCTTTATCTGTTAAAACATGTCTTTTTTCCTTCCCCCACTTCCTTTTGCTTGCACTTCTTCCGGCAGGTCAATGAGGTAAGGAAGACCTACTTTAAACTATGAGATACAAAGCTAACCCGTCCATTTACATCACTAACCATTTCAGCATCATTAACCTTGTCTGAGCCACATTACATTATAGCTGCAAGTCGTTACAACATCGCTGTAAAGCTTGTTGCACTGAACAGAATTTGCTATAAAATAGTTATCTTAAAACTAGGAGGCATTGATATCCAGTCCCATTGACCTTATTAATTAAGCTTTTTTATTCTTTTTTACCCGTATTAAAATATATGCGAGTATGGCTGTATCATTTCGTGTATTTGCATGTTACAGTTTTTACTCTGTGGCTTTTTTTGCCTGGTTTCATTCTTACTAATGTGCCTACTGTTGTGGTCTTGTTTTTTCAGTTACGCAGCTCCTTCAAGCAAGCTTTTGGTAAAAAGAAATCTCCCAAGTCAGCATCTTCTCATTCAGATATTGAGGAGATGACTGATTCTTCATTGCCTTCTTCACCAAAGCTACCCCACCATAACTCCACTGTTTCAACGCCATTGCTGAGAGCTTCCCATTCCAATTCTCTGTAAGTGATTTTTAAATTTTTAAATAGAAAATGGAGTGGAAGACATCTTGCTGCACTGGTAGAAGAAAAGAGAAATATCATGCTTTGGAGAGATCCAGTGTTTTCCATGCTAGCTTTACAGGACATGTCTAGGCCACTTTACAGAAACTAGCAGAGGCAAGACGTACCCTACACCATCCTTTCCCCTGTGGTTCCTCTGTCTAAGAATCTGCACATCTGTATAAGCGCTCCAGGAGTCTGACAGCTGTTCAGTTCCATGCACTGCTAAAACCAGCGGTTCACCGTGAGGCCACAGCAGAAGACACAGTGGGCCAGACAGGATTGTCCTGTAGATCAGGGCTGGTCTGTTGCCACTGCTCAGTCCTACTCCCAAGCATCACTTCTATTATCTCCCAGAGCGGGGCTGTGGTTTTTTAAGTGTTTTGGGTACAATCCTTAACCCTGTCATACTGGCAAAAGAATGAGCGAAGATCACACTTTCAACTACAGCCTATTTTGAATGCTCTGTAGTCGAAGAAGATTACAGGCAGAGAACAGAAAAGTTGAATTTATATATTCAGGGAATTAAAGATACGTAAGCTGATTCCCAACCCAGTACCTTTGCATTAGTGTCCAGGAAGCCAAAATCATTGCATTGTTACTGTAGTATAATTTAATATTTCATTGGGGTGCTCTCTCAGCAGAGAATACATATTGAGTATGAAGAGTATTTATAACCAGGGTGACATTGGAGTGCAGAATTAATTGGATCTCTTGCTGTTAATGAAAGAAGCCAGGCCAACTCTGGGATTTTGTTTTCTCTGTTGGATAAAGACAGCACATATTGTACTAACTGTAATGATGAGTTGCCAATTAAGTTGACAAATTCAGATAAAGGTTTACTGGATTTATTGGAAATCAAACAGCATGAAACAGCTGAACTCATCTAATGGCTTGTGCCTGATGAATGGAGAAGATCCGCTCCTCACTCCTTCTGTACCTCCCCAGCCACCTGTGCCATGTCCTTCCCTTGCACTGGCTCTGCTACTTCCCGGACAACTCCACTGAGCCAATGCAACACGCTAAATTATGTGAAAAATAATTTGACGGAACCGTGAACAGGTTTTTTCCCCAGATGGCTGAGTTGGCTTAGCTCAGGGGTCTGATCAGACTCATCAGAGTGCCAGAGCTGGCATAAGCAAGCGGACATGACAGCAGCACAGCCGGGAGCAGGCTGGGGAAGAGGAGTGAGAAGCAAATGTGTTCTTTGGGTAGTAGCAGGCTATTGTATAGGCTCATCTGCAGGACCAAACCATACCCGTCTGCTTGTGTGTGTATGAGAATGAGATGTAGATTTTAAAGTCAGGACTTCTGCCCTGCTGCTTAACTCATTTTGTGTTCATGGGAAGGCCACAGGCAATCTTGATTCTTCATTTTGGCCACCTGTGAAATAAAGTTAAATAATTGCATTACCACGCTGTTTTGAGTCTAAACTCACGTTTTGGAATGTGCTCGGAAAACTTTGTAAAACAGATTTTCTGTTCGTTCTACTCAGTAGCTTCATCACTTGAGTAGGATAAATAAGTACAGAAAGTTGTACGAGGCAGTATTGTGAAACATAGGATTACCTGACAGCCTTACGACCTTGTAGATGTCATGCAAAGCTTCCAGCCTGATTTCGGATCAAATACATTTGAGTAACTACCCAGACTTGAAGTTTTGCCCATCGCTTGTTTTCACATGAAGAGGTGAAAACAATAGCAATAGTTTCCAGCCATATAATAACAATGAAATGTTAGTAGCAGAAGATGATCCCCTGTGATTTTTTTTAAAGCTTCTCCAGTCTCTCGAGGCTAACTCAGTGAGTTTGTGGTGACTACAGCAAATTTGTGCGTTAGAAATCTAAGGCCAGAAAATTGTCAAATGATGATCCCTTCTGTCATCAGTCAAAATGCTATGTGCATATGTCTCATCTTGAAGTGAAAGCCAAAAGGCTAAACGTGAGAAAAGAGTAAATATGCAAACTGAGGGAAGCTAGAGCACAAGGAAAACTTGTGTATTTTGGCTTATTGGCTTCTTGGTGGGGAAAACATCTCTCATTAACCTGATTTAGGGAGAAACATTTTAAATTAAATCTCTCTCAATGCGTGCAGCTGTGTAGTTGATCTTCATATAGATACACTTACAAATGTGCTGAAATGTTACTTACCCAGAATCCTTTTTTTGTGGGAGGAGGGAAGAAAAACGCCACCAAAAATTTTTTAAGCATGAGTGCTTTAAAGCGAGCAGGAATTTATCACGCTTCAGTAGGTGTAGAGTTCTAAAGCCCTCCAGAACAGTTCAGGGAAACCCAGCTGTGCACACCTGGTGAGCTTTAAATCTGTCTGTAAACTCATCAATCTCCAACCAACTGCTGTTACTGCCTGCACCCCCTTAATTTATTTAGATTTTGGCTTTAGAAGTTTTCCTTTACAGCAACTACAATGAAAAAAATGAAGACTATCCAAGTCTTAGTCACTTGTAGGTCACTTCCAGAATTCTTTTTCAGATGCTGATTAAAGAAAAATAACCCTCAGACATACTTATTTCACTAGTCTCTAATGTTTCCATGACCTATTTAATATCAGATTTATGGTATCATTAATCCAATAAGCCAAAACTGTTGCCTGCTTCCTGCAGAATAAAAGGGTTTTTTTCCTCCTTTACTAATAAATGATGGAGTAACAAAAAAGGTAACAAATGGTCTCGTTCAATGTCTATTTTTCAATCTTCTCCAGTATTTCTGAATGCACTGACAGTGAAGCTGAAACGGTCATGCAGTTACGAAATGAGCTAAGAGACAAGGAGATGAAGTTGACTGATATTCGTCTAGAAGCCCTTAGCTCCGCTCATCAGCTTGACCAGCTTCGGGAGGCAATGAACAGAATGCAGGTAAGAAATAACTGCCCCAAATACTGCAGTCTGTGGTGTTGTGTTAAAGATTGGCCAACCTCCCACACAGTAAAGATATGAAAGAAGGTAAATTTGAAGTTTTTGAATGCTTACTAAAAGTTATGTCTAGCTTTGTGCCAATGTTAAACCTTGTACCTTCATTAAAAGTCAGCTTGAACACAGGAATTGTGCTGCCCTCAACTCTGCAGCTGTAACTGATTCAACCCTAGAAAGCTACGGGGAGATCATTGACTGTCAGCAACCTCTTAAAATGTTCCTGTGCTCTCTGACTTAAAGTAGCTGCATTTCAGTGTTTAGTAAATTCCCACACATTTATGTTTTCTAAGATACTTTGACAAGCTTCATGGAAGGGACATTGTAGTAATTAAAATCATTAATTTATTAAAATAAATTAAAATATTATGAAAATGGCATTTCTGCTAAGCTAGTATGTATTCTGAAGTTACTTATGTTGCTCTCTTTTAAGTGTACGTTTTCACTGTGCCTTCTAACTCCTGACTTGTCTTTTCAAGAGCGAGATTGAAAAATTAAAGGCAGAAAACGATCGGCTGAAATCTGAAAACCACGGCAGCTGTAGCAGGGCTCAGTCTCAGGTTTCCATTTCATCCTCCCCAAGACATTCAGTGGGTCTCTCTCAACACAGTTTGAACCTCACGGAGTCAACCAGTCTCGGTGAGTTTAATGAGAAAGGCGGTGGGCAGGTTTTATCCTGCACTTGGAAGATTTGGTTTGGTTAGCCATGGAAAAATGAAAGCATGAAAATTATTAACAGTTGAGGTGTGGAAATATGTCAGGAGCTGGCGTAAAGCCTTCTTTTAAAATGTCGTCATAGCTCTGCTACGCCCTAGATCGGAGTTGTCCAATTATGACCTCAGCTGTGAAGAGTCATGGTTAAAGCCATTTAATGGTGTACGTTTGCCAGAGGACATGTCATAGGAAGGAAAATACAGAGTAACTGACTAATAATTTTCAATGTCCTTTACTTTTTAAGAGTGATGCTGGTATTTGGTAGGGAAGTCAGTAAACCTGGTTCTTATGTTTTACCTCTGGGCATGTGAAGCCCAGATGTGTTGTGTTTGACTACAACAGACATGTTGGCATAAACCAGAAGGGTCTTCAGTGTTATTAAGATACAGCTGTGAAGCTGTCGATGTTTTCTGTTCACAGACATGCTGTTAGATGACACTGGTGATGGCTCTGCCCGGAAAGAAGGAGGCAGGCACGTCAAAATAGTTGTCAGCTTTCAGGATGAGATGAAATGGAAGGAGGTAAGTTGTGGTTCATCCCCAGCTTTGAAATATAAGTGACTTTGGAATGGGGCAGAGGATTCAAATCCAATTTGTTTTGGAGGCTTTTATTTGCAAAAGACTTTTTTAAAGTTTTCTCTGCAAAGTAGTTCATTGGTGTATCACTAGTGATAGCCAAGGCACTAAGCCCCCACGTCCTTGGAACTGCTGAGAGCCAACACCGCCAGTTCAGGTTGCCTCATGGACTCACCTGCAATAGCTTTTGATTTTACAGTTTCTTGTTGGTGCCATCAGCACTGGCCATGAAGCATGTCGGTAACACAGGACTGCTAGACTAGATGATGTGTCAGCGGTGTAGGTGATAACATCACAGTTTAAGCCTTTCAGTAGTATCTCTGAAAAACCAGGCCACTCTTTCAGCATCAAGGAGGTTAGCAGACTAGTCTGCACCTTGGGATAGCATCTGTTTAAGACTGATATGTTAAAAGCTGCACAAAGCTCTTGGGCCTTTCTGTTAAACTTTTCAATAAAATTCTAATTAACAATGGAACCAATCCAGAGCATAGATAGAAGGGGCACCGAAATGCTCTAAGCATCGATATTCCACAAGAACATAAAGGATCCAAGCTGGGAGATCTTATCGTTCAAGTTGTCCTCTCTGGCACAAGTTTCCCATTTTGAATGACATCTTTCAGATGATCTCCATTCTCGAGTAATTCAAAGAATCCTAAATACCCAAATAAATTTCAGATATTGTAAAATTGCAGCCCACCTCATGTGTGTAATACATGCATGAATGTACTATACAATCTTTACCAAGCACTGACCTTGCTATCTCACATTATGAGTCCCTGTAAAAGTGTATTTAAGAAATAATTTCATGTCTTTTGTAAGGGAGGGGACATGACAAAAATTTGAATAATCAGAAATAGAATTGACTCAGCAGATATTTCCATTAAATACGAATTTTGCATTAATAAATTACAGCCCTGGATAAGCAAATGAACAGCAAAACTATATTGCTAATTCTATTGGACTCCACTGTGCTCACAGTTAGTAAAGTTGCCACGTGGAAATGATTCCTTATGTTTTAGTTGAAGTCTTATGATAGAAATTAGTTTTTCTTCATTGAATGTTTCACAGCTATAGAAGAACAGAAAATTGAGGTGCATTCTGGGTTTTTAGTCTGCTTTAGAAATCAGAAACAAAATTATCCACTGAAGTGTTGTGATATACCAAACATAACACACAAGTTGTTATATTTACATATATATGAAAACCTCTCTCTATATATAACTATATATATATATATGTATAGGTTTCTATGTCCATGGCAGCATTTCTAGAAGTGAATAGGATAAACCTTGCAAATGCAACATATTTGATTGGGAAGTCATGGAAAAATGAACGTGCCATGAACTTTTCTGCCTAGAATTTTCCTAAGAGTGTTTCTGTCTTTTTGCTAAGCTGTAATCCTCTCAGAGGTTTTTTAATTGGTGATGGATTGATTAATAAATAGGTTTTACTTAACATCAGCACCACTTAAGTATCCTTTAGATTGTGACTCCAGCACTGTAGAAAATGTTTAGTAGAAAAGAAGGATTTCCTATAGCGTTCAGAATTCACCATATAGAGTGGTAAAGAGGCACCATAAATAAATAAATAAATAAATAAATAAAAAGGGGAAAAAAATAATTACATTAAACACACTTGTCTGACAGTTAGGATTTATTTATTAACTTAAATTCACATTTCTATGTGTTTAGGATTCGAGGCCTCGCACCTTCCTCATAGGCTGCATTGGAGTCAGTGGCAAGACCAAATGGGATGTTCTGGATGGGGTTGTGAGACGGTTGTTCAAGGTTAGTGAGTAAAGTTTGCGGTGTGCTTGAATTCTCCTCTTAGATTTTGATGATACCAAGCAATATTTAACTTGCTGTGATTATTACTATTATAGCGTGGAACAAAGTCACAGAGACTTCAGTACTGCCTAACTTTTCATGTCCCTTTTTTTCCCTGTAGGAGTATATCATTCACGTGGATCCCGTGAGCCAGCTGGGACTGAATTCAGACAGTGTTCTGGGCTACAGCATTGGAGAAATCAAACGCACTAATAGCGCAGAGACACCTGAGCTGTTGCCCTGTGGCTATCTAGTTGGAGAAAACAACACTATTTCAGTTACCATCAAAGGTAATTACTCTTGACCTGTCTGTTGTAGTTCTCACTAATTACAGTTCTATCAAAGCTTGCTGTGTCAAGAAACTCAGAGGAGTAGAAACTTTTTATTGTGTTTCTTTTCCCTGGCCCTACCTTTTATTTACTTGTCCTTCTATTTTCATTTGATAAAGAGAGCACTTAGGGTATGCTAAGTCTCTAAATTCAGCAAATTTTCAACCTTTAACAGTAGGAATAATTACACATACAGCAGTTTTCTCTGCATATCTTGAACTGATGCCTGGAGTTGTCCTGGAGAAGACCTCACACCACAAGGGACGTAATGGAGTTGTTTGAGCAGCAAAGTACCTTCCAAATGAATAAAGCCTCAGAATTTCATTACCTCTTTGTAACAGCTATAGTTGTTATTTCCTTCATGCAGAGTAAAAAAAAAATCTTGATTTAACTTGCTTGATTGGTCTCGCTGAAGAGTCCCTCCTTAGGCCCAGTGAGGAGGGATCCCAGAATTCATGGGACACCTTAAAATCTGGATTTTTTCAAAATGTATGGTTTTCAGAATTCTCAACAATTTCATCATATCATACTGATAAGAATTTAATGCTTATATTTTTCATACGGTTACTCAGAGAACCATTTTTATGTGAAAACTATACTATGAAAGTAGATTTGAGGGAAAAAAATCCTCAACCACTGCATTTTGAATGTACATCAGTTTGCTTGAAGTCACACCAGTGAAATCTCACACAGATCTGCATACAGATCAGGTGGTAGAGTATTTGAGAGCATTGCCACACACTCTGCAGCTCAGCTTTGAAACTTGGCTGTGGCATTTGACTGAAAGTAGTTTGATGTTTTAATATTAGTGTAAAAAATCAATTACCTTGGGTAGCAAATCAGTGGGCAAGAAGACAAAATAAGCCATGAAATATCTCCATTTACTGAGGCTTGATGTGAACCCAGGGTATTCTGCTTACTTAGAATACATAGTCCAATAATAAATCCCAACTGAAATATTGCTTAAAGTCTAGCCGCATCTGTAAAGCTGCGATCTGATTTTATATTTAACTTGCATTGGCTTGACTTGTGCTTTGAAGGTTCATATGTGATAACAGTTTTCAATAAAACAGAAATGTATTTAATCAATTTATGGAAGATCACTTACATATACCTTTGAGATATAAAGCTGCCTATATAAATATTTAATATTCCAAGTAAGCACTGAGGTGCAAACATTTCTGTGCGTGACCTGCCAGCTTCCTTTTCTGTTGTTTATTTTGAAGCACTGTGTATTTTCCCTGAGCCAATTCTGCCTAAAGTGACTGCTGACATTGCGTAAATGCTTATCAGTAGGAGTTTTATGTTAGAAGAGATAACTATCAGCATACAGAGAAGGAGTTTAATTACAAGCGTTTGGGAAAGTAGGGGGAGTCGATGACAGCTGGGGTTTTTTTTGTCTAGTGATTCAAAAGTAAACAGGTAAATTCTGGATGAATGCATACCGTACATGGCGAAATACTGCAAAATGGATGGTTTATGTGTGAAAAATGTGGCCTGGCATCATTTGTATGGCAACTTTGATAGTGCTGTAGATGCTGCAGGGTGCAGCTGAGTACTTTGAAAACTGGGAGAGGTGAAGCAGGATCCAGGCAAAGCCCATAGGTCACTTCTGCACTTGTTTTACCAGCTTTATATGTGTTCCCCTTGACCACGGGAGATACCAGAGTGGGGAAGGGATTTATCGCTGAAGTTAGAAACAGCTTGGTCAGGTCAGATCTAAACCTGTTGTTTCTACGTGTTATTTTGGGGTTTTCTCCTTCTATTACTGGACCCAAGTACATTCACCAAATCACATTTTTCAGTTCTCCAGTTTGACTATCTAGTCATTTCAACTAATCTTGATTTTTTCAAACTCCACTAACGGGATTGCTTTCCAGCATTACAACTACTTAGTAAAAAAAGAAAAAAAAAAACAAACCAAACTTTAAAAATGCAGGTAATTTGGACAAAAATTGGGAATCCCTCTAAATGAGGAATTTTTTCCTGTTGCAGGTATCTGTGAGAACAGTTTGGACGGTCTGGTGTTTGAATCGCTGATCCCAAAGCCTATACTGCAGCGTTATGTCTCTCTCCTGATGGAACATAGACGGATTATCTTATCTGGCCCCAGTGGAACTGGTAAAACATACCTAGCAAATCGTCTGTCTGAGTATATGGTCCTTAGAGAGGGCAGGGAGTTGGCCGATGGCATTATTGCAACCTTCAATGTGGACCATAAATCCAGTAAGGTAAGGAAATGGAAATCATCTTTGCACAATTTTTTTTGCACTACCATATATCAAAAATGAGAGACTTCTCCATTATTCATCCATCAAAAATTGATTTTTAAACTTATCTTTCTCTTTAAAGCGTGATGTTCATCCTGAAGGGAATAATATTTAAGTTTTTCAGAACTGCAGGTTCATCTGGTTACGGGCCTGAAATAGCAAGCTTCCAGGTGTATATTTAAACACTTAAAGGTGTCACGATTTTCAAGTGGTTAGGAGCCTGAAAATTGCTGAGGAAGTTAAACACCTGCATAAAATTCCCAGCAACTTAAGCAATCCCTGTTGCATGTGGGCATTTTTCCAAAAACCCTCAAATGCATCTCTAGGCTGTCAAGAGTTTCTGCAGCTGCAAGTATCGGCAGTTGTAATCTGCATATGCTGGGTTTGGAGTGACTGTTGTTCAGGCACATTCCTATGCCGGTAAGGCATGTCTCTGCTTTTTTATGTGCTGCTGGTTTTGCTGAATATACCTCCAGTGAATGTCTAGATTAAAGAAGAAAAAAAAAAAAGCTGTATATTTGATGGCCTTAGGCGCATTTTCCTCTGGAGGAAGGGGATGGTTGAAATTGTGGTTGTAGGCCACTGGTATAATTTGAGACATGCTATGGAATAACTGCTTTAAAGCTGCTGAGAGCATTTCAACCGCACCCAGTCACCCGGCAGCAGCCCCGCAAGCTCGTCCTTCTTTCCCGGCGTTACCAAAGGCATCCAAATTTGGGCTCTGCCGAGGGATGCTTTATTCCAGATTAATTTTATTGGCTGTATTTCAGTAGGCACACAATTGCAAAAAGATACAACAAACCAAGCTGGGGTGCAGAGTTTGGTTTGGTGTATGGAGAGTTGAACAAGTTCCCGAAAAGAAAGAAAAATACATTTCAGACCTCTGAGTGTCAGATTAGGACAACATGAATGAAAAAATGCAAACCAAACAAGAACATTTTACCCCCCTTTTAGGCCCTTATCTCACACAGGATTTCTGATGTAGTCTTCGAATCTTCAGCATAACCTACAAAAGAGAAAGAAACCTATATTCTTCTGTTTTCTCACAGAAAATGTGTTCATTTGTAGGGTGGCAGGCTCTTTTGCTTTAGATTTCATGACAAAGCCAGTAGCTTATTTATCTTAACTGGCTTTTCAAGGAATATGATGAAAACTCTCTTTATTTTTTTTTTCTTTTCTTTATATATGCATTGCAGGAACTCCGCCAGTACCTGTCCAACCTAGCAGACCAGTGTAACAGTGAAAATAACGCTGTGGATATGCCACTTGTAATCATTTTGGATAATTTGCATCATGTTAGCTCCCTAGGAGAGATCTTTAATGGACTTCTAAACTGCAAGTACCACAAATGGTAAAGAAATAATATCAGAACGCATTCCAAATTTCAATACTGCAGTCAGACCACTGCTGTTGCGAAATGTAGTCACAAAACAACTCTAAAGTGGACCAAGATGGCCAGACCGTCCATATTATGGACAGGGCTTCAGAAGCTTTTTCCTTCATAAAATGCTCAATTCCTCTGAAGTCAGTAATAAAAAAGTAGTAGAGGGTTTGGGTAATTTGCATTCACTTCATGCAGTAGATCTTCAATACTAAAACCCCATTTTTAGTGAAAGTTCCTGCTTTGAGATTTCTGTTTTGCTTTCAGAATTTGATGTTCTCAGAAGTCAGATTCTCAGTAGAGAATTTGGTTATAAGTAACTACAAAAACCTTCTTTGACAAAAGATGTTTGAATAACCTTTTTTAATGTTGAGATCTTACTAAAAAGTTGTTTTTCAAAATTTAAAAGTATGATTTGCTTGATTTTTTTTTTTAATAGTCCATATATTATTGGCACAATGAACCAAGCCACCTCCTCAACACCTAATCTTCAACTTCACCATAATTTCAGGTACTGTTTATTCATGTTTCTTATTTACGTTTGTGGGCTGGCAAAGGAGTAATGGCTACTGAGTCATCTGAAATTGTTCTTATCAGCTGAAATAGCAAACTGAGAGAGAAATACCATTCACTACTAGTTGCTGCCCTAACATGTGCAGCTTTGTTATGATGCTGTTATTAAAGTAACTGCGGTTCCTAAAATTTTACGTTTTAGAGAATTGTTAAGATACTTGATCCTCTAACAGATTTTATATAAGATAATAGGCAAAGCAGATACTGCATGAGAAATAAGCTGAAACAATGCACAATACAAATTGTTTCATCTAGTGAACTCATCATTCCAAAATAATTTTTGCTAAGAAACATGTGGCTGGGATAACCCATTGTGATCCTGATCATCATCTAGAAATAAGGAATTTAGCCCAGAATAGGTATGTTCAGTAGCATGGAAGAGAAATAATGGACATTTCTGCTGTTCTGCCATAGATGGGTGCTATGTGCTAACCACACTGAGCCGGTCAAAGGCTTTCTTGGCCGTTTCTTGAGAAGAAAATTAATTGAAACAGAGATCAGTGGCAGGATGAGAAATGCAGAGCTGGTTAAAATTATTGATTGGATTCCAAAGGTCTGGCAACATCTGAACAAATTCTTGGAGGCTCACAGCTCATCTGATGTTACTATTGGTAAGTGCTCTGCCCATATGCCCAGGCATATGTAAATGTACGTATTTTATTTCCTTGTATGTCAGGTGCATCCTTGTACGCTTCCTAGTGCTATATCAGGTAAAAAAGGTCTCTTTAAAACCCTACTTTTAGATGGCAGTGTACTCTGGGGCAAACTGTACAAGAAGTTTCTAAACTTTTTTTTTCCCCCACTTTTTCTAAGAAAAAAGGACTTCTTTTTAAGTCCTGGATACAAACTGTGTTATGAAATCTGGTTAATTGTTTTCACCTTGAAGGCTATAGTTTTTCAAGTTGATTCAGAGGATTTTTGAGCTCTCAGAAAGAGCACTTCACAAGATAGCTATTAGTGTTCTCTCATCCTTGGCTTCTTTGTCCAGAGAACTGGGAGTTGTTGTTTGATCCTATTTTGAAGCATATCATGATTTAAGTGTAATACCTGAATTTCCCTTTCCAGGTCCACGGCTCTTCCTCTCCTGTCCGATAGATGTGGATGGTTCTAGAGTTTGGTTTACTGACTTGTGGAACTACTCCATCATCCCATATCTTCTGGAGGCAGTTAGAGAAGGGCTACAGGTGAGCAGGCAAAAGTGAAAAAATCCTAGGTCTTGAATGGTATCTATTCAAAAGGCAGCACAGCATCGGACAAAACTGAATAATGGCAACATTTTCTGTAGATACAACTTTGCACACTGAACACCTGCATGTCTGTGAAAATGCAGCCTAAATTGTCATTAATTTCAGGCAGAATTATTCTCTTCAAACGATTTTGAAATACGGAGCGGCAGGACTAAAAGTCCAGATTAGATTTTCTTAAAGGTTTTTAGATGCCAAACTACTGATGTTTTCAGTGGGGGGAGTTAGACAGCCAAGTATCTTTCAATAATCTGTTCCAGAAGCACACCTTAAAATTATACTGTGCATCTGAAAAACATGTTTGTGGTCATTAACTTAGTTATGCAGGATTTTCCTTTCTAAATCAAATCTTTCAACAGAGGAGGAACAAAGCTGTGTATGGAGAGAAACGTATTAATGAGTGACAGGATCAGTATCAGTGACATTTTGATTACTTCTCAGTCTACAGGATGAATTTTTTAGTAGAGTCCTTCATAATTCTTTCAGAGGCCAGAGTGAAATAATCAGTGATTGCCTGTACTTAGTAACTGATTCATTCTCCAGCAATTTGGATAGTTTTAAGCATTATCACACAATTTTTAGCATCTCTATGACAATAAAGCATGTTGGAATCGGGAGGAGAGTTCAACAGAGGATTGCTATTGACTTGCCATGCTATGGAAAGGAAAATTGCCATGCTTTTCCAACTATGGAAAAAATTACCTTTTTTTATTCTTCAGTCCTCTCTTCACAGAATAAGCATGGCAGCACAACATTTAAAAGACCCTTTTGGAGATAGCATAATCAAATATCAGTAAATTCTGAGCATTGCATGCATGAAATCTAGACACCAGATCACATACAGAAATAAAAAGGTGGATCACAGTGAGACTCTAGAAGATTGAAAAAGGGCTAAAGGTAGATGGAGAATAGGAAATTATGACAATGCTTTGGGAGCTTGTGTTTTGGTAAGAGGACAAATGCTGTTTTGAGGGCATAAGCTATAATTACATCTGATAGAGGTAGGAAGAGAATAGTAATTCTGTATGTAAAAAGACTTATTAGAAAGATAAAGTGGAAAGGGTTCAGAAAAGAACAGTGGGTATCACCAAGATGCAGAAAGCATTATTCAGTGAGAGAGATGAGAAGCTCAAACTATTCAGTTTATTCAAGAGGACGCTAAAATATTACTTGGTCTATGGGAGTCTTCTGTTTTAGTCTTGCAGGGAAAAAAGTCTAGTGGATGTTTGACAGTTTGGACTAGAAAAATTCAAACTATAAGCAAGACATGGCTTGTTATTAGCAAGAATAATTAACAGTTACGAAATGTTACTTACAGAAGTAATAGGTTCTCTATCACATATGTCTCTGTGTCTGAAGTCTTTCTGAAACATGAAATAACTCCAAGTACAAGCTCCATGGAGACCCAGTTGTGTTGCAGAATGGTTCCTTCATGTTTTTGAAAAATAGTTCTCTCCATTCTGCTGCTGCTTAGGGCTCACCATGGCAGTGTTTGTCAGGCTGCCTTGCCATTAAGATATGTTAAAAAAGCATGAAAGACTTCTTTTGGAAAATACTGGGATTTTGTTCTGATTTGCTTGTTTATTATGTTTCTTTTCCATGCAATACCGTTTCTGTATTAGAGGTTCAGCTCTCATCTGCGTGGAAGTACACTGCAGAGAATGGAGAAATCATGAATATGGACCAGTCTGAGTACTTGAAGAAGTACTTAAAAAAAAAAAAAAAAAGAGAGAGATTTTACATTGTCCAGTTAACAACTACCATGGGTTTCATTTGTTATCAATACAGCAGAGATTTATAGACGTTAACAGAGAGAGAGAAGACAACTTTGTCACAGAAAACAGCTTTTACTAATGGCTCCTTACAGTTCTATGAAATACATGAATTCTTCAACAAGTTTGGTCAGAATTTGTGCAAACTGTGTTTGCCATTTGAAATTTGTCAGTGCCTGGAGACCTCATTTTCTTTGAGACGATTGTGTTAAGCTCTTAGATGTGAGGAGCGTGATAGGTCCTAAAGTACAACACACACAGAGGAACTTTGCTAGAAATAGAACAGGAGAACCATTTTACATAAAACTTCCTATAAAGGAAGGTAATGGGAGCCAATAATCTTTTTGACATAAAACAAGTTACAGGAGAGCGTGTGACTTTGTTTCCTCCTGGAAAGGAGAAAACTGCTACTCACAGTGATCCCTGAGCTCCTTGTACTGTGTTTTGAAGCTCTCCTATCAGCTGATCAGTAGGTGTGGAAAGCATTGAAAAATCAGTAACAGAAATTAAGAGAAAGAACAACAATTAATAAAACCATCTTTTTGCTTGCTTGTTTTGCCTGATATCTGCATCTTTCCTTAGGTTATTTGAGTGGCTTGCGTTCCAAATGTAAGGATTTCAGTTTCTCACTTTGTGCTGTAGATTCTGTATCCACTTCAGTGCCATTTCCCCAAATTCTGCAAATTCATTTCCATTTAAATAATTCCCCAATTTACTCTAGAACTTCTCTTTTGTTGAGTCTGTAGATAAGAATTAGACTTCGGTACTTGAAGAGTAGCCAGAGTGGTGCTAATTAACATGCTAATGCTAGAAATGTGTGTTTCATTTCGGGATATTTTCTGTCCCCCACACCCACAAAGGCTTCTCCAAGAACACATCTTCTCTCATGAAATTGCCTGCCAGAAAGGAAGGGTGGACTGCTGATTTCACTCTGATCTCCGTGGATCTAAACTGAACTATTTTTATATATCTGTTTCTCATTTAGAGAACTATTTTGGGTCAAAGACAAGCGAGCCAAATGGATCCTTACAGTAATTGCTCCCATTGCAGCTGAGTTTTTTTGTTCTTCAAAACAGGGATGTGAAAATTAGTGGGTTATATAAAACCCCAGTTCTTCCTGCTTGGTATATCGATAGAGAATGCAGCACCAGCAAAAAGAGGACCCAAAATCCCTGCGGCTTCCTGCCACTACCACTCGTACTCCAGTCATTTCTCTGTGGCGCTTTGTGAAGCGACCTGTTAGGTTCTTGCTCCCCTGATTGCTCTCTAGAAAACATGCACGTGAAGAGGATGGACAGAACTGGTTGCTGTGGAAGGGAATAGTGAGTTAGTCGTTCAGTCTCTCATCGGCTGAAGATACGTGGTGATTTCACATATTGAAATGGGAATTTTACTTATTAGCTAATTTTCAGAAATGAGCTAGGATCCACACAGACCTTCTAGATAGCAAGAACATGTGAAAAATATAAAATCCTCTCCACTTAGCAACTGGCATGCATTGCTGTAAATTCGAGAACAAGATTAAAATAGGAGATCTGGGTTACCACAGCTTGAAGACATTATGCTGGGAAAATAATACAGTACAGCTCAAGGCTGAAGAGTATTTGGGTTGTGGAAGAGGCTGTGTTTAAGCTTGCCTAGCACCATCTGCTGGGCACCTCTGCTCTGGGCTGGGACTTGCTCAGTTCTGCTTCAGAATAAAGCAGATGTTGGCATTTAGAGCAACTTAATACTTTGTGATTCCCGCATGGCATTTGGCTGCCGTCTATGACGAAGCTTGCATTTACATCTATCATCTACGTTTCACCTAAATCTTAAGTTTCTTGTAACTGCTACAGGGAAGCTGTAGTGGAATAAAGGACTTCGTTCCACGTGTGTAAATTAACACAGCCAAATTTTCAAAGAAAGGGATAGGCTGTGAACTACATGACATCATTTAGAATGGAAGCCGTTGTTATTTTGTAATATTGCCTAGGAATCTCTGTCAAAGTGCCATTCTGACAGCGCTTGCCTGATGGATACCTGCAGAAACACTCCGCTGCCATGTAGGAAGATCAGATTTGGGTTCATTAACCATGCATCTAGATGAAATCAGTCTTTTGCGTTCTGTTTGGATGCAGCATTTTGGGGACCTGGTTGCACTGGAAGCAGTCGTTCGCTTCTGCGGTGCAAGAATGTTCCAGGGACTTCTGGCAAAGTGAAGAACAGCATTTAAAAGCTCAAAGGTTTGCTCTGACTGTTGCTGTTTGGCAACGGGGAGGATAACAACATGGGTTTGTGCAAAAAATAAAACCACAAAAAACCCAAGAAGAAATAGCGATGAGGAAAGTGAGCTAGTCTTAGATCTGTCAGAGAGCTGACGGATTTCTTTGTTAGTCCACTGCTTTTCCCCCATGCATTGTGCAGGAAAGGGAGAGTTCTCTCAGTTCAAGTGACAAAATGCCAGTGATGAACTCCAGTTGCTGAAGGATGTTTAGGCTGAAATTCATTAAACAGAAGTAAACATTTTAAAGTCACTTGAAGTTGTATTTATGCTTTTGAAAGTCACGTGGCATTAAAATGAAGTTATTATCTAATTAAGGCAAACTTAACCAAATAGAACAAGAAGAATACCTTGGGATTCAGTAACACGGTCTGTTCAAAACAGAAAAAGTTTTTGAAATACAGCTTGCTTACTTGAAATAAGAACATGAACGTAGCCAAATCCTGCTGGCGCTTTTTCTTGGTTGAGTACAAAGAAATTCCACTGACTTGAAAACCTTTTGCTATGACATCCATCATTCTTGCCTCATGACAGGTCTCACGTTTCCTCCTACACATTCCACTGACGGCGTTTCCCAACGACAGTAAACGTAGATAAGGCAGCTGCTGGCGCGATCCGGATGTCAACGTTGACGGCCTCTTTTGTGTATTGACTTATTTAAGTTAACCTTTCTGAAGTGAGGTTATTTTCAGGTCTCTCTTTCTTCAACTGATGCCAACAGAAGGGCGCTGCAGTCTCAAATGAGGTGGTCAGCTGCTTCCAAATCAGTTACCATTAAAAATATCTAAAACTTTGTATGTCATTAGGGTAAGGAAAATCTCACTTGTTTGTGTTCAGCCCTTCTTGCAAGTGTTACCTGCAATCAAAGACTCATGGCACACTCATTTTGGTTAGGTAGGCACTGAATGAAATGGTAGACTAATAGGAATGTTTGACATGTTTTTATGCTTTTCCAGTTGTATGGGAGGAGAGCGCCCTGGGAGGATCCTGCCAAATGGGTAATGGACACCTACCCCTGGGCGGCCACCCCACAGCACCATGAGTGGCCTCCTCTGCTACAGCTGCGGCCTGAAGACGTGGGCTTTGACGGGTACTCGATGTCACGGGAAGGCTCGACCAGCAAACAAGTTCCAGTGAGTGATGCTGAAGGAGATCCTTTGGTAAGCTCTCATTTTTGAAATGGCAGAACCACTTCGTTTCCCTCGTTTCTAGGGATTAGAAACAGGAACAAAAAAGCCAAGGACAGCTGAGGGGTGATTGAAAATTTTAGAATGAGAAGGGAATGTTTCTGGGGAAGTCATCAAGTCAGCTTGGGGAATGCATTCACACAGAAAGCCTGTACAGTTTTGCAAGAAACAGCAGCAGAAGCTTTTCAGATGCATTTGTTGAGGATATTTTGAGGATTAATTTTTTGAGGAGTGACTGGGGATGTCTGTAATAAACTTAATTTCTACATTGTGGAATTAAATATGTGATCTTGTTAGACATACTTGAATAACACAGTCGAAGCATTTCATTTAGCCTGTTGTGCCACAATCACAAAACAGGCTTGTTGCTTTGGCTTTTAGAGCTATAGAGCTATATTCTTTTTAGAAAAAGTATTTTAGAGCTATATTCTTGACCCCAAATGAAAATGGAGATTTTCAAAGAATATATGAACTAATGGTCTCCCTGACTGGTGTCTAATTTATGAATCAGAAATACCGCACAAGCATATCGAGAAATGTTAATGTGTACTCATATAGAATGTATAAATTGAGCTTGACGGTAACACTAAATACACATTTTCTTCCAATGGGAAACAGTTATTGAAGCTGCTGTGCAGACTGAATGCCCTGAAACTGTTCTGTTGAGGTGTACATTTTTCTGGGCAGTTGGGAGTATACAATGTGTGTTACAGTTTTTACTAGCTCATACATACATATACAAATATCAATCTAGATATTAGGACATTCGGATTTGCCTCTTTTGACTGATCTGTCCGTATTTCCATGGGTCAGAGGAAGAGAAGGGTAGGATGCTTGCAGAATCCTGTCGAGTACGGCTGTGGACTGGTCCCTTTAATCTTCTCATTTTCACCTTTATTGGAAAAGCATACTTTTTATGACTTAACTTGCATGCTGCTATAATATGATTTACAGTTAATATCTCTTTTCAGAGACTGAGTATTAATTACCCCGCTCGTTTCTTCCTTTCCTTTGTTACCCACTGGCAAAGTGAATGCCGCTGTAGCTTTCGTATGGAGTTGATATTCTCTCTACCTCAGAATACAAATAATCATGAACTTGTGTACGTTTGCAGATGAACATGCTAATGAGACTGCAAGAAGCAGCCAACTACTCAAGTCCCCAGAGTTACGACAGTGACTCTAACAGCAACAGCCATCATGATGACATCCTCGATTCGTCTCTGGAGTCGACGTTGTGATCTTCCTTGGATAGGAATAGGTCGTTTCCACTATCGCTCTCTCACTTGGCAAGAACCCTGATCACAGACTCATGAAAAGAACTGTTCGTGGGCTGAGATCTCAGTATTAGAGCTGCAAGAACAAGACACTTGGAGTCAACAAGACACTTGGAGTCCAGTCTTGAACCTGGGTGCAGGCAACCCAAGCAACCTTTGTATTGTTTTTCTTTTGACAATGATGAGAACTGCACTATTTCTTTGTTTTCTTCTGTTTAGTTGCTGTAAGCTCTCATGCCTAAGATACTGAAGATGTTAAAAATAATCATCATTACTAAAAGTTGAAGGGGCGGGGTGGGGACTTCACAGCTATGAAGCAAACAGCTTGGTGCCATGTACTGTCCAGAAGGAGAGGGGAGAGGAAATTTTTGCCTATGCTGCTTCTGACCAAACACATATAGGTGAGGGCTGGACTTTTACCAATCAGCTTTGTGGATTAAACTCAGCTTTGTATAGTTCTGGTGCTATAACAATATTGCTTGCCTTGGTAATAATACTCAATAAAGGCAAAGCTGCAAAACAGGGAAGTTTGAATGAATATTAAAAAAGAGAAAAGAAAAAAAAAGAAAAGAAAAAGCGCTGCTCTCCTTGCCAGTCTGAGACCTTGGCTTTCTTTCATTGTGTGTTTATAAAGATATATATATAAATAGGAATATATAAAAATATATATACAGTCTGAACAAATCAGGTTTTTTCAAACACTGTGTACCAATCAGTCCTACTACAAATGAAAGATCAGGTAGCCCTTTGCTAGTCAGGGCCTGATTCTCTTCCCACTTACATCCACGTAACCAACTCGGTTGACTTCAGTGGCGTTACACCCAATTTATTTACACTGATGAGAGTGAGTTTCCCTCCTCCGCAGGGGTCAGCAAAAGGGCCATGCCCCGTGAAGTCCTACAGCTCCAGAGGACCTTCGGCAGCATACAGGCGTTGGGAGCCCTGTACACGGAGGTGAGCTACACCCCTGAAAAAGGGATTAATCGGAATTTCTGGTTTTAATTCTTGCCATGAAATGTTACAGCTGTTTTCTAAAAACTTTGGGGTTTGTTCAGAGGTTTTGTTCCAATCAGCACAACCATAAATAGGTTAATTAAAACTCAGCTTTGTGACAGTTCCAGTGCTACTCTGGTGACAACATTCACTTCCATGACTTTTCTTTTTAATTGAAAAAAAAAAAAAAAGTATTTTAGCAGTATTCAGTTCTGGAAAAAAAGGAGGGAAGGTACTGCATCTTTTAAGTTTAGCTGGGCCATGCTTTTGAGTTTTGGCAGAGCTGTGAACCTGGTTTTGTTTCTCCTCCTCTCTGAACGCACACACCTACACTATCAGTGTTAAGGCTTGTACTTCTGTTGGGGAACAAGAACACCTCCCAGAGAATTGCACTTTCCTTTTTACGGAAGCAAATGCTTACACCACCATCACCACCACGTCAGCTGTACCTCAGCAAAAACGTCACTCCTCAATAGTGATTTGTACTAGCCTTTCCAGTTATCTTTTGGTGCTGACTTTTAAAGCGATGCCTTATTTTGTACTAATTGTGTTTGATTAAATTAGTGCTGTATATTATGGGATTTTATTTAAAGAAACAGGGCTAAAGTCATCTCTTGGAATATCATAAGTTGCTGTGAATATTGTTTGTATGAGATACTAGAATTTGTTTAAATGTGACAAAAAAGGAGGGAAATGAGATAACTTTTCAGGTTCATATCAATCTGCAGCTAATAAATCACTGAAGAGCTGTTTTATCCATGCAGGAAGAAAATAAAAAAGCTTTTCAACTATTAATAAATGCTGTCATTAATAAATTACAGGAATATGCTGGTTTTTCAATGTACAGAAAAAGCTTACTACAAACACTTTTTTAAGAGCTTGTGGGTTTGAAGTAATATAACAGACAAGTTCATGCTTCTGTGACTCGGCTTGAGAGGATCGTTTTATTATACCTCATGACTTTCTGTAACATAACTATACTTTGTCTTACTGAGCTGGTCTTGAATCTGCTCCTGTTACAACTTTTAAGTGCTGATGACTTTTTTTTTTTTTAAAGAAAAATATTGTAAAAGAAAAATTTAAATATTTTAATGATGGGGGGAAGAACTTGGTGTTGTTACTGTTTTAACCTTATGAACTCTATTTCATTATTTCACTGAATGAAATACTAAGGGTTACTCAGCCAATGTTCCTAATCCAGTTCTTGGTACTGTAAAAATGGGATAAATCTGTATGGAATCAAATACATAGCATGCTGATGATGAGTTTGAGAGGGGTTAATTTTTCCAGTAGTCCTGACAATTCTGCTTCCCAGCACTGACTTTACCTGCTACTACTGTGAATTTTGGTACCTAATCCCCCAACTGAATCCATGCAGATAGAGCACGTGCCTGTAAAAAAATCCAGTTGCAGGGCTAGGGCTTTAAATGGACTTAATATCCTAGAAAATTTCTCAGTTAACCTTTAACTGAATGCTATAAGACATGATTAAAATGGTGTTTTATTTGTGGGGAAGGGGGTATTTTTTTTTCTCATTTTTAATCCTGTGCTTTAGCTCAGGAAGACATTTCTGTTCTCTATTGGTTTTTATTGACACTAGCTTGGATTACAGTGAGAGAGGCAATTTTGAGTAGGCTAGTCATTCTGAGCATCACAATATTCAGCGTCTTTTCTGAAACTTCGGGAAGCAGGGTTACCTGTTGTGCACACGTCTTAGTTTTTATCAAGACTTTTCATAGATTAAGTCTTTCTTTAAATGATTTTGTTCTCATTTAAGGCTTTTTCAAAATGCTTCCTTTTTTTTTTTTTTTGCCTTTTTTTCCTTACAAAGTTGGCTTGTTTAAAAAAAAAAAATCAACAAGAAAGAAATGCAAGATTCTATGCAACATTCATGTTGAGTTATAAATTGAAAGTATAAACCATTTTCTTTTCTTCAGAACTGCCAAGAATGATACAGGCCATAAATGAGATGTGGTTTATTTGGGGAAGGGGAGGGAGGGGGTTGGTTAGCCTTTTTGTACATTTTGGAAGAAGCAAACTGATATTTCATTGTTGATGCTTAACTTCGATATTATGTGTATGAAATCTTGTCTAAATGTGGCAATTTTCTTTCAAGGAAAAAAAAATAGAAAAACAAAGCAAAAAAATCTTTCTTTGTCTATATTAAATGGAAGGTTGCTGTTTTGATCTAGTCGTTTCCAGTGGAACAGTTTATGAAATATGTTCTATAAGATGTACATTTTTTCATTGTAACATAGAAATGTAAATATTTGATTAAAAGTGCTGCATTTTGATGAATTTTTTCTAGCCATTTTTAAAGAGAAAAACTAGGAATTGAGTATTTTGTGTACGTTTATGATGTTTTCCATTTGCTCCTCTCCCTATTTAATTTTCAGTTCTCATTTAGGATTGGAATTTGTGAATGGTCTGTTTGAGATCATGCCTCCCCTTTCTCACCCTCCCTGTTTCTCCCCCTTCCCCACCCCCTGTGTCATGGAGAATAAAGCTGATGATTGTACCAGTCTTAAATTATTCATGATTCAATAAAATTGATGCTTATTTATTCAGATTTGTGGCTTCCCAGAACTTTTTGTCCCTTCTTAATGAACATTTTCTGTTTTTTTATTTGAAGATTGTGGAGTTCAGTTCTTGGTTTTATTGGCTTCTTATAAGTACTTGTGAAAAGATGCCAACAGCCCTTACCCACATCCAGGAGGAAATTTAGCAGAGGGACTACACCGATACGATTCTCTCCCGTAGCTGATGTTGCACACATACCCATCAAGACCTGCTTAAGACAAGACTGGTCTATCCATTTAGAGTATCTCTGCATAAAGCTGACAGTCAGTCATACGTGGCCAGCAGGCTGGATGTGTCCTGATACCAGCTGGTGCCAGCTTCTTTTTCAAGAGAAATAATCCCTGTTGGTTACAAGGGCTGCACATGGCAACGTATGTTGGGCTTACACTGAACATGCTTTGCAGAATGAACTTCATAGAATCATAGAGTGGTTTGGATTGGAAGAGACCTTTAAAGGTCATCTAGTCCAACCCGCCTGCAATGAGCCGGGACATCTTCAGCTAGATCAGGTTGCTCAGAGCCCCATCCAACCTGACCTTGAATGTTTCCAGGGATGGGGAACTCCTAGGAGTACTTAACTTGGTGATCCTGGACAGATCAGACTTCTCACTTACAATAAAACCATGACATTGTTTTTTTCATTTGCAGAAAGAACATGACAGAATTTTTCTGGTAACTTTGCCAAGGCAGAGTATTGTTGGCACCATGATGATCTTCAAGGCAGGCTCTAGATTGTGTGTGTGCCCCAGCGTAAGTAAGAGGCCATCTAGAGGTCTTAATTGCTCTGATAGGTCTTTCAAACTATTCTCATTGCTGGCAAATTGATTTAAAGGAAGAATGCTTCAGAGCATTAAGCAATTCAGTTCCACACATTATTACAATTTCCTCTTCACCTATTTGATAGAGACACTGTGATTATACAGTAATAAATTTATGTTGGTCAGTAAGGACACGTAGGGATCTATTCTCCTTTCTTTCAAATAAATGCTCTAACTCGAAAAAAAAGCACCCTCTTTTCAGAAAGGATAAATCCAAAAACATCTGCACTTAAAGTGTAAGGGATAATTCTCAACAGTAGTAATTTTTTTTCCTGGACACTGTTTTCTATTCATATTTCTGCTTTTTTGACAGTTCCTTGTAGTTATCTTGTCCTCTACTCACTCATTTGAACTATTAATGTTGGTAGGACAGATTGATCAATATCAAAAAAAAGTTTTGAAAAATCTGCTGAAAATTGATGATCTGCATTCAAGTTAGTTTAATCTAAAAGCAGTCTTCACTTTTAATAACGCAGCAGTGCAAACTGTAACTCAGAGCTGAACTTCTGTAATGTGGTCTTTGTCTGTCCCTCCACAGCAATTTTCCAGAGGCAGAGTAGTTTTGGACATGCTCTCAAGCAGATTTTTCTGTATTCTGTAAACTTCCTTTGATTTGCAGAATTACATGTTTTAGAATTGGCCCTGGAAAACACTCTAGCCCTGATCTTGGACAATGTTTGAATCAATACTGGACTGGCACCAAAATGCTTAATCTCTCTCAGAAGCTCTTCCCTTTCCTTTTTTGGCTGCCCCATCCCTTCCCCATGTTCTTGTTCTTCTCTGCTCTGTGCACTGTCTTGTATGCTCATCTTCACATTTTTTTCCCTGTACCTCATCCTCTCTTTAACTTTTATTGCCCTGCTTTTCTGTTTCTAACATTCTATTTCATTCTTATTTTATATCCTTCCTGGATCCACCTCATCATTTCTCAGTGCCGTAGGATCAGTGCTGACTTCCTTTCTGCAATGGAAAGGGAAATTCCCTGGAGTCATTTTATGAAGTCAGTCCGCAGCCTGTGACGTGTACTTACACCCTTCACCTTCCACTGACCTCTTCCATTGGTATCTTGAAGTAGTCACTCACGGTGTGGAGACACCTATTCTTCATTGGATTCTAGCTTTTGATGTGGACAATCAGTCTGGTTCTCCTTGCTCCACAGTTTATAACCACATTTGGCACAGGGAGGACCCATATGAGGTTGCTTTTCATAGCACACATTTGCAGTGTGTTGGCAGGAGAGGAGCAGCTGCCCATGGACCCTATAAGCCCACAGTCATTCCTGCCCCCTCCTTGTTTATCAGGAGAAGACTTTTGGGGGTTAGAGCAGAGCACAGCAGCTGAGGACAACTCCTATCTCTGCCAATGGCAGTGGGACTGACTGTAGGCAAATACTTCCCCATTGACATCTCCATTTGCTTAGCCACACAAAAATCCATGTTCCTCTCTCCTTCCTTCATCACTGATTCATAGAATCATAAAATGGTTTGGGTTAGAAGGGACCTTTA